GACTCAATTTGTTTAAAAACATTAAAATAAAAATCAAGAAGTAAACTAAGATTTGGTTTGCCATTAGGGAGATAATGGAAGGAGACGGGAAAAAAAAAAATAGTTTTCCTTTCACCAAAAATAGTTTTCGCAAAATGGATTTCAAGTTTTCTACATTTAAAAAGCACAAAGGAGATCTTCAGTGATAGCTGTTTTAAACAGCTCCTCAACTCATATGCAGCAGTCACATCTCCCCTCCTTTGAAAGCGATCTCTAGTTTCATGCTGAGTAGCAGTTAGAACACACACAATGGCATATACCAACATCAACAGCATAATAGATGTTTATTCATGTTAACATCTGCCTGAGAATCTACAGGAGTATGTAATAAATTTTCATTTCCATAAGCATGCATGTACACCTCTCAAAGTACAAACAAATTGAAAGAACAATCATATAGCTTAACTATCTGATAAGTTGATTTGAAAGAACACTTCTCTTCAGTCTTAAATTTTTCAAAAAACCCAGGCCCCTGGGCTTCAGGATATATACCTTAGTGGAGAACCATTCTCTTGGTTTTAAGCAATTTTACTCACATTTTATTTTATTACTATAGTGTGTATTCTATTAACTTGGCATGTGGTTGCCCTGTTATGACCCAGTGCAACACTACAGCCCTGTACAAGTAACTGGAACACACACAACCTTGAAGTCTTAGCCTGATGTCCTGAAACTATTCCATTTACACTATAAGTTATAAATTCCAGAAGAAATGACCACTGTCAGAAATACTGATGTAACCAGAAAAACAAGAAACAGACAACTGCCTGTCAAAAACTGTTTATTCCATGTTAAGATTGTTATGGTCAGCAGTTTTTGCTCCTCACAAACTAGCAGCTAACCATTGTTTTGTTCTTAAATAATTTTCAGTGTTGACACACACTCTGTAGTGACAGTGTCAGAACCCCATAGAATGGCATGGAGCTGAGTCAGGGGAGGGTCAGGTTGGGTGTTAGGAAAAGGTTCTTCAGAGGGCAGTGGGTATGGAACAGACTTTACAGAGAAGTGGTGACAGTCCCATGCAGAGGGAGTTCAGGGAGTGTTTGGACAACACTCTGACATCAGAATTTGGGGTGATCCTGTGCAGAGCCAGGAGCTGGACACAAGTGTCCTTGTGGGACTCTGGCAACCTGGAATATTCTATGATAGCTCCCCCTGCACCACCGAGCTGCTGAATGTTTCACACATCCCACGACAGCGTATTATGAACTGTACTGATAGAGAGGACATCATTCAGCCTCATCTTAACCCAGAGATCCCACTTTCCTCAGCCAGCTCTAGTTGAGGCTATTACTATCCACTTACATACAAAAAATAGATTAGATGCACAGTAGCTTTCCCTACCTCAGAACACTGCTTCAAGTCACCTGGACAAGTTCCTGTGTCACCTAATCTAGGTGGCCCTGCTTTGGCAGGAGGACTGGACCATCTTTTGAGGTCCCTCATTCCAATCCCTGACATTCTGCATGATTTTATAAGCCCATTTAAATGCTTTCCTGCCTCCCTGTTTTCTTTATCTCCAGCAATAAAGAACTGTAAATTGAACTTCAACTGGGTGTAGGCTTTGTCTGCTTTTCATTGTTCAGTTTTCCAAGCTAGTCTCCTCTATCTACAACCTTCCTGGCATTTTAGCTCATCACAGTGAAAAAATTACCCTATATAATGCTCTTTCAAATACTAAAAAATACTGAAAAACTTCTAACTTCACATAATATTTTCCCTTAAAAGATGAATAGAGCTCTCAGATAGCTATCAACCTCTTGCAAATCTAAAGATTAATTTACCTTCATTTTTATATTCATTTTATATCATGTATCACTATACTTATTGGTTTATACCATTACTTGGAGAGTACAATCCTGACCCTCATCCCACCCCGCTATTATTCTTTTCTAATATTTAAAAGTCTATTTCTATCTCCTTAATTACTTTGTTACCTTTCTCGTCCATGCTTTTAAAAGTGTCATTACTGCAGTACTTTAGAGAAAATTAGAAATTTACATGCAACTGATTGGAACTCGTCATAACAACAAAAAGAAAAAAAAGTAAGAATTCTAGAATAGTTCTGACAGATTTTTTGTTAAATTCTACATTCCCCTTTTATTACTGGGCCACAACAAACAAAGCAATGCAACTTCAACATTACAAGTAAGGTAACTTTGAGAAACAAACTTTACATACAAATAAGCATATGTAAGTTTTCTGAGAAGCAGCATTAGCCAGTCAAAACGCAAACGCAACATGCCAGCTTTTTGCCACCTTTATTACTGTAGCTCAAAACCCTACGCACACTTTATTTTGCTCAGACAACAAACCATCTTTTCTTAAGAAAACTTAATCTGTATCACATTGAAATTTAATGAACTTTTAAAGTCAGAAGACTACTAAAATCATTTCTCCCTTTAATGTTCACCTACTTTAAAGCTGTCAATAGAAATCCAAATCTTGTTCAAGAAGAGCCCACTACTTGTTTTTTATTTTTAATTCAGTTGACTTGCCACAATAGAGTGAAAAGATTATGCATCAACATGTCACAAAGCTGACTAGCAGTGCATATTTTATCTAGATAAGTATTAGTTTTACAATGTCTTCTCCCCCCATCCTCAAAATATTCAGCCATGTCTTACCATAGCTTTTCCTCCTATACCTAGCTTCTTTCACATACTCACACACTTTTCTTCATCCAGTTTGGCAATCCAGGATAAAATATAGCTTCCATAATTCTTAGTGCTCACAGAACCAAACAGCTGCCAAACTCATTTTCAATAAAAACAAACACTAAAACATAACATCACATGTGTCTATCACATAAATTCATTTTCTGAGTTTCAACAGGAGTAAAGAGTTGTCTAACATACAGCGCTCAGACAACAAGAGGTGGTCACAATACCTCTGACTGGATGTCATTTGCCTGGTACTTCAGTAAGGAAAAACAGCATCTCTTTAAAACAGCAGAACAAGTGCAGTACATAGAAGAGTTTTAAACATTTTGAATGCTTAATTTGGTTGCATTACTACTTGAATTAAGTTGTCTGCTAAACCCAGTATTCTTTATTATTAGAACCCCTATGCTGTGTGCTTTCTGTTACATGTTTTGCTATTTAGATTCATCAATAATCATTTGAGAATCAGATCTTGTTTTCTACAAAATGCTAATGGCTGGTTCTAAATGAAGATGCACAAAGTACAAATGATAATGCTTAATGTTTCTAAACGAGATAAAGCAAACCAAATCTAGAACACAAAGAATCTAGAATAGAAAGCATACATATGAATTAATAGGCCCAATAATGGAGATTAGAAATATCACAGAAATGTGACGCGTTGTGCTTTGCAGACATATTCGCTCAATAAGCTCTCTTTCAAAGAGGATATAGCAATTAAAATGCATACTGTTGTAAGGAATGTCCCTTGTAGCATGTTAGAGTAACAAGTCTTAAATATATTTCTTTCTTAAAAAGCAATATGAAGTTACATACGGTCATCATACCAGCTAAAATAATATTTGACTTCAAAAATAGATACAAATTGAATAAATTAAAAGTAGTTAATATTACTCAGGGAACTTTGTGGGTCCCTTTCAACTCAGAATATTTCATTAAATAGGACATTACATAAATGAAGTACTAGAATTGATAATCTCTCAACAACTTGTTGTTCAGTTATACAGGGGAAAAAAGAGGTACATAAACTCTGTAAAGTGTTTCACAATATTCTATAGAGCACAGTATTCTTAGAAAACAAAAGAAAACAAACAACACTCCTTCCTCATCTCCCCTATCCCATCACATCAACAAAAGAACTCAGGAAGGCTAGAGAAACGTAATGTATAAACTTCATTTGGTTTTCTGCAAAGTAAACTTCATCAGAAATTCCTGGTGAAAACTTTGGGATATTCTTTGCCTTGGCAGTGATCAATGGAGAAGTTATGTCCAGGAAGTCAACAAGACAGTAAAAAGTAAAAATAAAATAAAAACAAAAAACACATCACATCAATACCATTTCAGTGAACTCTCAGCCAGGATGCCCAGTAAAGCTCTCCATTACTTTTATAATTGTTTTTAAAGATTCACAACTGACTCACAAAAGAAATTAATGCCATAGGACTTCTGGACTGAAATAAAAGAACCAAGTACCCTGGAACAACTTTTTTTTTTTTTACCAAAAGGATGAACATTAGGAATTCACAGCTCTACAGCTGACAGATGCATTAAGTCCGAAACTCACTGTCTTACACTTGTACACTTAGGCTGTATTTCCAGGAAAGAACACACTAGAACGTATGAGAATAAACAATATTTATTCAAATTGACAGCACAGATTTCTTACTTGTCAGAGAGAAAAATGACCCCCCTCCTCCAATGATGCAAGATTTTCCAAGCTTTAGAACAGAAAATCTTCACACCTGCCTTACCTAGGAAAGGCACAAATATTCTTAACCTAAACAGCTGTGCACTTAGTGTTAAGGGTACACAAGGAGCACTCCTACTGGTTTTGATGAGATATTTAGACAATTTATAGTTCTCTGTGGGCATATCTGCACTATACATATGACAAATAACACTATATGCAGACTTAATCTGCAGTTTTAAAGGGAGCTTGATGCTGGCAAGAAATTTTGAAAGACATTTGCTTTCACTTTAAAAATCAAACATAAAACAATAAAAAGAATGAAGCCTAAAATAACAGGAATAATTTATTTGACCTGTTTGGCATTAATCAGGTAAGCAATACTTTGGTTTTGTTGGTTTCTTTGATATGAATGCAAACAGACTTCTAATCAAGATGATCTAAGGATAGAAGAAGGATGAGGTATAATTAATGGTACAGAAGACCTTTGAAAAAAATACCCGTGTTGATAACTCCTATTTTTAAGGTTTTACACATAGCCAGATATTCAATCCTTGCACTTTCAAAAACATCAAAGAACTTAAAGTTTAAAATTGTTGGAAAGGACTTACTTTTATTGTAGCAAGTTGCTAGTACACCTTTATCTGCAGGACTGGCACTAATGTGCCAGATCTCACCCACTTGATGAAGAAGCACATTTTTGTTTATGATGTTATTTTCATCATCAAAATCTATGATGTGGATCTGCAAATACAATAAAAGAGAACATTAGGTTTTCAAATGTTTTCCTGTGGGTCTTAATTATACACAATGACTGCACAGAACAATTTAATGAGGATTTTATAACTGATATCTACTTTAATTAATTGTTATACTAACAGTTTACTATATCATTGATTTCATCAAGATAGACTTTTCTAGAAAAACGAGCCATCTCTCTATTTTGATGAAGTACAGTATTTATTCTTCTCAGTTCTGCAGCTTAAAGCTTGAAGGTGATTTTTCATATTATAGTTAATGGTAATAAGCCACTAGTACTGCATTTGAACACTTCTTCCAGCAATAAACAGAAATAACAACATCACAATTTTCAGTCAAGATGTCTGCATTAACTCTGTATACAAGCCATCAAATTTAAGTATCTTTTGAAGAAAGAATGGGAGAGAGAGACTTTGTTTTGAAACAGAAATAACTGAAACTTCTAGAGTTCTCCTCAAGCAAGCAATCCTATATATGTATCCATACATAAAACTATCTATTACTAAAACACTTGGAAATACAATACATTTTAGACTACAAGCAAAGATAAAATACTTAACTGAAAGATTCTTTCAAAAAATACTAACCATGTCTTAATAAATCTATATCTCATTCCTGCTTTTCTTCTAGGTAATCTCATTTAAGATTCATTAGTAAAGTTGTGTCAACAATGAAGAGAGAAACAAAAGTCATCTACTAAACCACTGCAGAAGTCTTACATACAAGATATTACAGAAATTTTTTCATAAAATAGAGAAACTAGATAGATATCAACTCAAGCTATATTGGCAATACTGTATATTACTTTACGAAATGGCTGATGTGTTACCTTTTCTTTTTTGTACTTCTCCTTCAAACACTTAACTGCTGAATGCAGTCATCAGCAACTTCTTCAAATATAATGCAGGACCTCATCACCTGTAGTGTTCTTAACTCAGTCATCCAGGGCACATAAGCAGTCCTGCAGTTGATGAGCATGCTGTCCTTTCAAACTTGACTTCATTTGTTGCCCAGGCATCAGGACAACATCCATCTCCTTGCAGCAATTGCACAGCCATCTTCCTGTCCAACTTAAGGAAGTCACCTTCCTGTCTTTTATAACTCTCCAGAGTCACACTCCTTGGACTTATCTACAGCTGCCCTTTACTTTGGTGCTCTGTATATCCCCTCCTGACCTACTCCCTTTGTCCTAAATCAAGTGCTACCGTCTCTGAAGAGAACACTTCCTCATTCAAGTGGTTTAAATCATTGATCAACTTTATCAGACACCATATACTCAGCCCCCTGCACTGCTCTCATAAGATGTATTTTGATGTTCTGAATCAACTCGCAACTGAAACTGTTCATAAGTACAACAGGTTGGAGATAAGCTACAACATGTTTACAACCCTAAAGTAAAACTTTCAACAGGCTCAAGAACAATAATTCCTACTACTATTTTTAAACATAAAAAAAACAATAATTGGCTTTTGGATCTCCAACAAAAAGCAGATCCCTCAAAATTACTGAATTAGATGTTTAACAGATAACTAATGTGAAATACAGGAAAATATTCAGAAATAAGAGCTTGAAAGGCACAAACAGATCCGCTCTATTTGCTTGTTCTGTTATCTCAAAAGAAAAAAAACGGAAAAAAAAAGGAGAGGGAAGGAAACCTTCTACTGGAGTCACTGAAGACTCATTTGGCAGCTTCACTGAAGTCCCTAGAGGTGAACCACAAATCAAAACTCTATTTACCCCAATTGCACATATACTGCACCTGCGCTGGCCAGGTTAGGAGGGTCATTCAACACAAACTGCTGGAAAGCTCTTTACCCCATCTGAAGCCTTTTGAAATCACAGATATCCAATTCCTGCACTGCTGTCATGTCTTTGCTTTATCTGACATCACAGATACCTGGAAACCTCTGCTGTAACTATGCTAAATATCAAAGGACAAAACAGTTCTCACAGAAAATACAGAAGTACCAAATATAGTACCAGCGTGATGCCACGAAAAGAAATACTAGCAGAAAAACATTCAGCTACAACTGTCCTAACACAAGCCCCATTTTGCACAGGTTGCTATTTTCATCTGCTCAATTACTATCTTTCTAGCTTTTTCCAGTGGAGTAGGGAAATGATTTTCAACTTGGATAAACAAGAGCAGCATATAGATGCTACAGAAGAGGATGACAGCAATGGTAAGCATAGGTTCACTCAGAGAATCTTCTCAACATGAATGCACTGTCCTGAGCAATGGTATGCATAACCAGAGCTCTCGTGGAACACAATCTTAGTGGAAAATAACTCTTATCATCAGTAGCAATACTAAGGAGTTACCTAGCTGCTGTAATTATGCTGAAGACTCCCTGAAGACTGAACACATACAAGTGCAAATAGAGAGGGAAAAAAAAATGTAGAGATCTGAAGGCAAACAATTATTTGACTTTACTAAAGAAATCTGGAGAAATCACTAATTGCTATGGAAGTGACTAAGGCAGGGAGACAAACACTTTCAGAACAAAATTACTCTTTCTTCCATTACACAAACTCTATAATTTGTTTCCATACATCAGAGGCTAACAGGGTACAGAGTTGGAGATGTGGGAAATGTTTCAGTTTTAGTGGCCACTGCCATGTTCTTTGCCTATGTAACACCATGCATGAAAACAATTATGTTGGATTCTAACACAAGACTGAAGATAACTCAGTTCTCAGAGAGATCAAAAAACATAAGGTGAAGTACGCTTATTGCGTATGCTTCCAAAAACACGCAGTAAATGCATTAAACTAAGAGCAGCAGAAACACAAAAGCTTCCAAAAGGCCAGGTTTTTAAGGACCATGTAAAATACTGTCAGAGAACAAGTATGCAACTGCAGGAATAATTTCTCAGAAGTCACAGTGAACATAGTTTAAAAAACCAAAAACTACATTCAAAGATATGAAATGTTTGTTTTGGTTTAGAGAATTCCTTTAGAAAAGAAAGCACCCAAGCCCCCAGCTCAGCAGCAGATGCTTACATCAGGTGATGGATACCTGGACAGTAAGTGTAGATTTTCAGAGATCACCACCTTTGAAGCACTAAACAGTAAGATTACAATACAGACCAGAAGCCTAGACTATTCTCTTCAATTATCACCTTCCCTCAAGTGGTATTTCACTGGAGAGTTTTCTGTCTCTCTTCTGTTTGGCAACACACTTCATGTTGCCAGTTTTACTCTCCACTTCCACAACACTCCATCAAGAACACGCTGTTCTCCTTCCTTCTTTCTCCAATACTTTTATTCTTATACAAGATCTCCAAACCTCACAAAAGTGAATAAACCACCACATTTGTTTTCTTCACTAGCTGCATGTATCCAGGTTTCCTAATTCCATTCACATTCCAAAAGTATGCAGCAAAGTTGTTCTACAGGAGCAGATGACAGACCTCCAGTAAAAAGGAACTACTTAACTTCCACGAAGTTATGCAGATCAAAAACCAAGTACTTGACATTGTTAATATCTCAAGTACTGTCAGAATACAACATTTAAAAATACTTTCCTTGGCCTCATAAGGAAAGCATTAACAGCAAAGTATTTGCACCAGATCTCCTATGAATTATTTGTACAGAAATAAATCTCACTAAGGAAGAAATTACCTTGCCAGCTGCATGACTATTGTTCTCTTACCTGCAACACACCTGGTTTGGAACTGAAAGGGAAGAAACATTCTGCATGTGATGGAGCTGCATAAGGAATATCTAACCACGCAGCACTTGGTCAAGCACTAAAGGCTGCAAGCCAGTTCATAAGTTAGGTCAGGTAACCAAGAAAGTTTAAGCAAATCTAGAGAACATAGTGCTGAATTAAACCATAATTACTTGAGGCCTAAGGCATTTCTTAGGGATTAGCAACCAGCTGATGGAGCTGATGGCCCGAGGCACAGCTAAAGGCCAATAACCCCCAAAGATTCGTTAATACCCTAGGAAGTGGCTTGCACATCAATTATTAACGCTATTCACTGGAAAAAGAAAAAAAATATGTTCAATGAGGCTGAAACATGTATATGGAAATATTTCTAAAATAAGTATTCTATGCCAAAAAATTTACCTAAATCAGAACGTTTAAATTATTGAAGATCTGCTGGACACCAATCAATAAGCAAGAATCACCCTCTAACTCCAAATTTGGCCTTGAATTTAATTAATCAAACCAAGAAGTAAAAGATAGATTCAACTTTAACCTGATAAAGCTATTTCTTCAGTATAAAAGCACCTTAAAACCAAATGTCTGAAGAGCATCCAGGACAAATGTACACAGTGATCTTTTTGATCACCTTTTTTTTTTTAACTAAGTTTGTTATGCCACATCTTTTGTTACTGGTCTCACAAGTATTACCTGAAAAGTAAAGAAACTGAATACTCCATATCCTCGTACCTTTGAATACTTTTTCCCCTTGAGTCTTAACCAGCATTAACATTTGGTACCAAACTCAATGCCTTATTATGTACAATTACTATTGTTCACTGGGGGGAAATTGTATTTTTATTGGCAATAAATAAATTTAGTGACTAATTTGGATTGTGAGAAATCAAAAAGACAAACCTTAAAATCCTTCTCTCTCCCCATTCTCTGAATTAACTCCTTCAATCTGGAGGCTTTACGTGGCACGAGAGCATGGGGCACTGGGATTGCACTCAGTATATAGGGTCTTCTCTGCCACTCTCCATCTCTCACTTTTTTTCCACTCCAGCATGTGCTCTCCACAGACTCAGTTCCTTTACAAATATCCTAGTTCCCTGTGGAGAACCTGTTCCTGCATGTGGATATCTGCTCCACCACAGAACACTGCCTCTTCCTCCTTTGACCTTGACATTCCACCTATGGTTTATTCTGTTTCTTTCTCTTTTTTGTTCCCTTTTCTCCCCCATGCAGTATTTTCTCCCATTCCAAAAGTTTTCACAGAGGTTCCACCATTCTGTTGGCCTCAACTGTGCCCTTCTTGCATAAGCAGCTGCAAACTGCACAGGGTAGCATCTGGCATCTTCCAACAGAAAACCTATGCAGCACCTCTGCTACACCCACCTGAAGCCTACACCCAATGCAGCTTTCTAACTGTTCTGCCCTCAAGATCTTCTTTCACTGTGAACACATGTACAGAAGTTTAATCATAAAAATAAAAGTACTGTAAAATTTTAGGTGCTGTACTCTTAACCACACAGGAAACAGCCCAAAAGAAATTAAGCTGTGATAGTCCCTGAAATTTTTAACTTGCCATATTTGTGATCAGTAAAGACACAATTGACTACCAATAATTATAGGTGGAAAAAATCCATTTCATGTAGTTTCAGATAGACAGCTATGCATATGCCAGGAATCATATTAAAGACAATCAAGGACTAAAGAATTTTGTTTTACTACATACATCTTCCAAGGTTTAAAGACAGCTCCAGAAAATCTAAAGATTTAAATTAATGAAAAAACAACAACTGCTTCACTAAGCCAAACTGGTTTAGCAATACAATTTAGAACAGTTTAATTTTCCAGAAATACACACTCTCACTTATATTTCTTATCAATACATCTGCAAATAATTAATGTAAATCTACAATTTAACTATCATTTAAACTTCAAACAGAACTAGGGGGCAGGAAGAAGAAAGATATTTGAACAGTGTTAAAGCAAACAAACAAAAAGCCCAAAAAACTGACATTTGACCAAATAAGTTACCTGATTATCATATCTAAGAGACTGTGTTCCAACCAAAAATCTTATAGCATCTGTTTCTGCTGTCTGAGGTGTTAAGGCTCGTGCCTAGGGAAAGAGAAAGCCATTAGAGAAGTCCAATTATTACAATCCATTGATTTCAGCAAAAATATTTAAGCTTATGTATCAATATTTTTAAGCATCATATTTTACAACTGTAATAACTTTTTGTCATTTATGTTTATTTTGCTTAATACACGTTTCTACAATTTCTCACATTTGTAAAATACATGGAAGACATAGGTCCTAAACACTTGACTGGCCATCATTGCAAGAGCAATTCCTCCAAATTAATTCTCCTTCATGAATTACAAAAAGACAAAAATAGAGAAAAGAAACACTGAACTTTATTCTTAGGTGTATTGGATATAATATTTAAAAAAAAAAAAAAGCTGTTCATGCTGAAAGTTTCCCCCCTATCAAAGAATTCAGACTCTCTTCAAACAATTCAGACTGAAGATGCTTGCATAGAAATGAAGGAATTCTTCTCCTCACCATTGAGCATTAAGCTTAAAAAAATTAAAAAGCAAAAATCTTTTCTTTTTCAACTCTAGATTACAATGCATAAATTTAAAATAACAATATAGTGCTAGAATAGCAACTCAAAGATTTTCCTTACATAAGGCAAAAACAGTCTAAGTCCTTGTCTAGCAGCAACAATAAGAGCAAAATCATTTATCGTAAAAGTACTCCAGACTCCGGAAACAGCATACACAGTTCATATATGATATGCAAGACAAAAAAAATGATTTAGACAACATTTTGTTTCAGATCAAGCAGAAGAGGTTAAAAAAACATAACGAGCTTAAGAAGTGTAAGCTAGTAGATCAACACTTACATGAGTGGAAAAAAGCACTAGTGAACACAATTCAGCATGCAGTTTGTGTTCAAAACATACTCAAACGTTGATCAGAGATCAGTATGAACCTATACTGATTTGTTTGAGCTCTCCTTCTTATGCAGCATTCATCTCCAACAAGCCTAGACAATGTTTCCAATTGACAAAAACAAGAAGAGTTCACCAAAAAGATTGCAGAAAAGCTTCTGCCTTAAACAGAATTTACACTTGCAGATCTCTAGCAAAGAGCTGCTTTTCATTTCAGAGCTCCTTTCAATTATTTTGAACATTAGAAGTCAGTCAACGAATACGCTTTTTTATTGTCTGTCCGTTTATTGTCTGTCATAAAGAACTACAGCTTCCACAGAACACAGAGTTCAAACTCATCGGTTGTCATCAAATAAGGAAAATCTGAATCTTGAAATAAGTAGCATTACGATGGACTGTCACATACTTCCTGGACAAATATGTTTAATTTTGTCTACTCTGAGTTACATTTAGAAAAACAAAATGTTTTTTCAACAATAGAAGTCTTGTGATGAATAAAGTCTCTGCATTTGGACTGCTGAGCAGAGTCAAGAAGAGCACCCAGTATCTTACACAAAAGCATCCTTCCTCATGATCGCAGCAATTTGAAAATAAAAAGCAGAGTAGAATGAGTATCCATTAATCTAAACCAATAAAAACCTTTTATACAAAGCTAGTTATCCACAGAACACTAAGTCGCATATAGATCTGAAAGTAGTCTACTACTGAAAACACTAAAATTTTATTTACCAAGGAAATTGACATGCTGCATGGCATTACATGAAGCAATTAGCTTCATTTTTAAAGAACATCTAAGACTAAGAAAAAAAAAAAAAAATCAAGGAAAGAGTAAAAAACTGTGATCTATGAAGAACCTTCTGGTTACACATTCAAACTTCACATTCACTGTAAACCTCAGTCACAATCTCTGTGAAGAAACCTGAAACCTGCATGGCTTAAACCAGGTAGAGTTTTAGAAATTTGGTGCAATACTGCAGCAACCTGACTGTAATGAACTTTCCCAAATATTTTAACAGCCTAAAGGAAGTTCATAAACATACAGCCAAAAATCCCACCCAGCTAACAAAAGCAGTATCTGCTTTTGAAAAGTAAACAAAGACTTCTCAATACTATCAGCCAAGGAAGCTGAAGAAACCAGTGGCCTCCACACCTATGTATAGCTTCTCCAAATGATTTTTTCAATTCCACCTTGTGTTCTCTGAAAACAGAAGTATCTATGGATGATGAGAGATGTGAGCAATAGTTGTGGTGATCCATGACACAGCACCACTACACTCCAGAGGGGTTCCCAAACAGCGTCCTTTACTTCCTACGTCTAGGACAGGCTATTCTGACTACACAAAGTCTCTCAAGGTAACAAAAACATTCTGAAAAAAAAAAAAATGAAGTTGAGGTAGAGAGTGCATGAAAGACCGAGGGGTTTGGAGAAGGAACAAAGGAAAACAACCTTAAGACTCCAGTGCAAGGAATACTGTACAGAATAATATAACATGCTATTTTGTGCATAAATTAGAAACATCATTTCCATAGCATATTTTAAAAAAAAGAGCACCTGCTATAGTACAGGGGAAAAAAAAAAAAGGAATTTTGACTAAGTAAGGAGTGAACTCAGATATACAACTGAATAGACTATAGCAATGGTCACACTGAATTTCAGTGTGGGTCAGAGACAAAAAAAAATCTAGTCAAACATAACGAACTGGCATTTTCATCTATCACATCTTGAAGTGCTTTACAGAACCAAAAATTACACATGTGTAGAGAGAAAACTACATAAGTGTACACAAAAATAAAAATTATAAAATGCACTCATAATGCACCATTTGTCCCCAAGACAGTAAAGCTATTATGCTTTTAGCAGCAGAAGTGCAAGCTCTGAATGAACTCTGAACAAAAATTATACATTTACAGAAGCAGAAAGGAAAAAAAAACAAACCTACAGCAAGAAAGATCAGCACCTTGGACAGAGACAAAAAGAGAGGATGGGGTAGAAACAAGTTATTTAAAGATAGGCATAAGAAGTTTATTTCTAGAAAACAGAAACTTAGCTTACTAATTTCACACATTATCTGAAATCCAGTTCTAGCATTACTCAATGGATATGCTAGATTATTCAACACAGTCATCATTATTAGCTATGCATTTTCACCAGCAATAAACAAGAGCATGCGTGCCATGCTCATCAAAACCTGCACCAGTGGAGATGACCCATTGTTGCTGTCACCACTGCTGAAACACCATCCACCACTTCACTGTGCTCACATCTACTGTTTGGTCTCCATAAACATTCAGCAAGCACAGATAAATGTTAGTGGATGCCATTTTTTCCGCATGGAGGTTTCAATTGCACACTCCACGCTTCCATGTCAGACACCATTTTGTCAGACTGCCCCTCTGCTACAATCCGTCGCCCAGTAACAAAATGTAATGGAATACAGGTGAGATGGTTCAACCTCTACTGCCATACCACCATCATCTGCCTCTGATGTCATGGGGCAACATAATAAAATAGGCAGCATTACTTTCAGAGCAGCCTTTATTAACTATATTACATAATTAACATATATAAGTAAAAAAAATTGATTCTAATTTTTAATATTTTCATTAAAACAGTAAAAAAAAAAAAAAAAAAAGCAATAAAAACAAAACTAGTGGGATATTTGACCTTGTTTTTATGAAACTAATACATGTACCAGGCTGCTCTGATGGAAGTGTTCGCAATTCTCAAGGTGCTCAGAGACTTATGAAACTTTACTTCTCCTGTTCTTCATCCTTGACAACAGTTGCTCATAAACTTCTTCACTGACAGAAATCAGTGATATAAATAAGGTATGACTGTGGATTGAGGGATATTTTTCTCTTATAAAAGTCTGGTACTGAGACATGGTCAGATTTTGGAGTTGAATATCTGATTGCAACTCTATAAATACATTTTAAAATAGAATGCATGTCAAATAAAAATGTAATTGCAAATATACCAAAAATTGATGATTTTTTTTTTTTTCAATCTTGAAACCTATTCTTAAATTCCTCTACAAAAAGGGAAGGCTGCATATTTTTCACTGTTCACAGGACTGTGCTTAGCCAGTGTATCAACATGCATAAAATTGTTTGCCACAACTAGTGCTGGCACTGCACCACTCCTCCCTGTGCCCTGGTTGGACAGCATTAATAGTGCACTGATGGTTTTTTTGTTGTTGAGCAATGGGTGCATGCCCAAAGCTAAGCCACCGCCATGATGGTATGGAATGGCCACAGCATGGACTGTGCCAGGCTGCAGGTTGGATATGCCTGGTCTAAGACTAAAGAAGGCTGTTTTGGAACCATAATGCACCCAATCTGCACTTTATACGTAACCTATCTCAAAACTTTTTCAGTTCCTCTTTCTCTGTTAACCAAATCCACAAAGTCACTTTCTGAATTAGACTGTTACTATTTAGGATGTTAATGTGCCAAGAAAAAAGTGGCTTGAGTAATCTCAATACTACTGCTGCATATACTTCTAGTTGATACACTGCACTGGTCTGATAGCAGCAAACAAAAATACAGCCCTGAATATTGAATATCTGCATTAAATAAGCTTCAAAAATTCTTTTTGTTGTATTAAAGGTGCCATTTGAAAACAATATAGTCAGTCTGTAACTATTAAGCAGAGAATTTACAATAAAAGATGTACATCACATTTGGCTTGCAGTCCCCAAATCTGAAGGCAGCCATCTGACCACCTGCTTGTGCTCAAAACCCAGAAATATAGGGCTCCTTGCAAGGGCAGGAGAGAAAAAGGTTGGCTTTGCTAACGTCCCAATCAGGAGGAAAAGAAAAATCAAGAGTTTTTTCTCCCTCCTCAAGAAAGCCCCAGGATGATAACAGCATAAATATTATGCCTGCCTTCTGGCCTATTTTCCATTTTGAAGTAAGTACACTTTGATCTTTACCTAGATAGGACAGCCTTGTTTCTCCCTTCCCAGCAGGAGACTCTCCAACCATCAGCTGCAAAAAGCTGCAGCAAATCCATCACTGAAGAGGTTGGCAGCACACATGCCCAGGTGACCCTCAGTGCTCTGACAGCTGCTTTCTCAAACTCGTTCATAGCATAACAATTCCCACCACAAATGCATTTAGTGCACTGACCCTATTGCACAGGCTGACAGGTTCTGTAAACCTTCCCAGCTACAAAAACAACCCTTGCACAAAATCTTGCATAGTACAATCATCCTTAGAAATCCCACTTTCACACTGACACTGTACACTTGTAACAAAGCTTAAAGGTAAATATCTTTAGGAGTTCTTCAAGCTCACATAACTACAGCTTCATACCGTAATTAGGTTGTACCATACCTAATGTTACTTCGATCCTGCTAATTGCTTAAGGCTCTTAAAAGAAGTAGTATCCCTTCAAGCATTAAGATCTTTGGAAGATTACTTAAGAGAGCTTTGTCATGCACATTATTTTTTTTTTTCTTCCTCTCCATTGAGTCTTTGAATCTAATAATATATTTGGCTGGAGTTGTATATGATGCCCTCTCAGGTGAAATGCTGCCCTCAAGAAAGGACAAGGGGGAAGCAGATACAAAAACTCATGAGAGAACATCTTTCCAGCCTGGACTACAATATACAGGATGGTGCTCATGAGGCATATAACACTGGGAAAGAAAAAAGACTGAGGAAAACAGTAGGAATTTTACTAAGCCATAATCATTCAGTTTCTTGAATCAATAGAATTTTCAAACTAAATTCTCCAAAGGCATCACTAATGCTATAATCAAATTATTGTCTTAGTTCTGTTTAGGCAACTTTCTTCTATCCCACAAGGGATTGAAAGGCTCTCCCAAGAAGAAAACCTTACTGCAAACACAAGCCATAACCTCTGCACCTCCCATAATGGCAGCATCGCTGAGCCTGAGAGGATGCAGAGGTTCCCTGGGTGCTGCAAAGGTGGCACGCAACTCCCTGGAAAGCCCCTTCCCCTCCTTCTTCTTCTATGAATCTATACCTGCTTTCTACTAAATCATTTCAGCTATTCTCAGTACATACTAATTTTAAACATATACACATACTGTGCAAGACCCCTGGCCAACTCCATGCCAGTTAGCATCTTGTACTGCTTTAAGATCTATTGTAAAGTCTCTTTTTACTTTACGGAAATTAAGAGCCACCTTACTTCATCAAACAGGCAAAAACCCTAAACCAATAGTCTTAGCAGGCTGTACAAATATGACCAACAACTAACTGAAAATTAAACTATGGACCAAGGATTGCTTATCATTACAGAACAAAGCAAGATACAGGTTCTTCCTCCAGAATCACAGTTGGCATTGAAACTGTGCCACACTTCAGTCCTGAAAAGTAACCACCACAAACCTCATATCCAGGACTATAAGCACATCCAGCCAACCTTAAAGTAAGGCCTGTAAAGTACTTCCAGGCACTCAATAGTGCTTATACACCTATTTAAAATGTCAGTGTTGAAATACTCAAAAAATAGGAAACTGAAAGAAACTATGGATCACCTGAAAATGAAACATTCAACAAACAGTAAGCACACTGTGTACTCTAGGGTAGAGAGCAAAAATAAGTTAACTCCAACCTGGAAATATATGAAGTAGATCATTTCAGTAACAAAAAAGGTCACAGAACAGCTGAGGTGGGAAAGGAGCCTTGAAGTTCACCTGGTCCAGCCCCTGCTCCAGCAGGGACATTCAGAGCACAGTGCCCAGCATTACGTTCAGGTGGCTTTTGAAGATCAACAAGGAAAAACTGCACTGCCTCTGGGCAACTTGTGCCAGTGCTCTGCCACTGAAATAGCACAGAAGCATTTCCTGCTGGGATCCCATTTACCACACTCATAATTTAGGTTATTAGCTTGCTAAGATTCCTTTCAGAAGCACAACCCTTCTGTACTGAAACGTTCTGCAGCTACTAATGTTGCCTCATATTCATCATAAAGATTCACAGCCACATCACTTAGTCCTCAATTCATGTGGCTTCTCACCTGTTATCTATTCCTCTGCATTTATTTTCATTTTGACTACAGTTGGAGCATAGAACAACTATGGTGAGTCATTGTCAGAGGAAAAAAAAATCATGAAAGAATCACACATCCTAAAACTGATGTATACTTTTCATGTTTATGCAATGTTCATGTAGCTCACAGATACAGCAAAGAAAAAACAGACCACATTTTGAGGGCAATATGAACAGTATAAATAGCACAAGAAGAAAATCTGCAGTCATCTGATAAAACAAGGGAAATAAAATAGGTTGAAAATTAATCCTGCACAAAATGGAATTCAACAATTTACTTGATCAAAGTTCTTCAAATTAGTTTCAAATAGCAAGTGCTTATATACTAGCACAAAGGCTCAGGACTTGTATATTTCATTTACATTTTCATGTGTCCGAAACATGAGTGATATGGCTCTGCCAACTAAGATATTTTTATTCCATTAGGTCATATTTTCATGAAAACCAAAAAAAAAAAAAAGTAGCATTTGCACATCGTTCTAATCTATCTTACTTATACTGATACCTAAACAATAAATAAAAAACTGACCAGAAATTATGCAGAGATATTCTTATTGCAAGCGAGTTAGCATATCTGCTTACTTCGATAGATAGAAGGAATTAGCTTCACATTCTTAAACTTAAAAACCATGCTACATTGAATCAGATCAAACACATACTTACAACAACCACATTTCCTCAGGCAGTAGCCCAAACCAGATTGTTATTGACTTCTGGAGCCAAACACAGGTTGGACTAATCTCCAATCTCTAGTGCAGCTTCTAGATACCCTGGGTTTGTGACATATAATTATTTACAATAGAAGTAGAAAGATTTCTTCCTCTCTATAAACGCTTTATCATTTCAAATCTCAGCTTTGAGTAAGCTTGTCAGAGTTGGAGGAAAGATTACCAGTAACCAAAAGTAAAAAAATAAAAAGCCAGACTTAAGCAACAAAAGAAAAATTCTTTAAACAGGCTGAAAAGTTATTCTGAAGTTACAGTATTGCTGACACATACACTGGAAAGAAGCAGTTATAAACCATCTTTCTTATTCCCCATCCCCTCTCTAAACACTCTGAATTAAGTGTAATTCTTTTTGATTACCACCACCTTAGTGCTTTTGCTTCCCAGTCCCATCAGAGCTGTTACACAGGTTGCAGAAGGGAAGAGGTCCACAAGAGATGTGTGATGTGAAAGGCTGAACAGTGCAGGCCCATGAGCAGGCAGCAGACAGGCTAAATTTCCTATATTTCTGAGAAATCTGTCATTATAAGATCTCCTAGAAAGAAGGTATGAATTTTACTAAATAGAAGATATATTCTATTCTACAAGAAAGATTTGAGTTTTGTTACTCTTTAAGTACAATCTACACACAAAGCAGTGGCATATTATCAGACTTCAGTAGATTTAACTTGTGGTGCAGGTCAGTGCTACACATCAGCTCTTATATGAGAGGAAAACCAAACAGATTTTCTTCTAAGACAGATCTATTTGTGTAGTCAACATTATAGAGCATGCACTCCAGTAGACAAAGCACCAAACTTCATAAACAGAACATTCATACCCTTCCAGAACACTTTCCATAAGCATTTTAGTAATGAAAAAAAATGCACGTAGGCATGCATTTATGGTTACTTTATATTACTGAATCAACTGTAGAATGAAGACTTTGCTCTGTGAGCTGCAGAAGAAATACAGCCTCTCCTATTAGTGCTGTAACAGCAATAGGAGTAGGGTAGTTGTTGCTAAAGAGAGCAGCTGAGTAAAATCTTATTGGGGGAAGGAATAATGGGACAGCATCACTCTCATTCACCTGGTTACCTCACTGGGTGTTCCCTTACAACTTGTAGGAACTGCACTATGAGACCGTATTCCTCCATTACAATCAATAGGTTCATAAGGCAGCGTAGGGCAGTCCAGGAAGAGGCTCCATCCTTATAGCTAAAATCACAGAACTGCAGTAGTTAGAAGGGTCCTCTGGAGACCACCTAGCTCAACCCCCTGCTGAAGCTGGTCACAAAGGCAGACATCCAGGCAAGTCCTGAATATCTCCAGAGAAAGCAACTCCACCACCTTCCTGTGTCGCCTGTTCCAGCACTGTCACCACGCAGTAAGCTCTTCCTCATGGTGCTACAGAACTTCCTGTGTTGCAGTTTTTGCCTTGTCGTGTGGCTTCCCGGCCCTGGAAACAGCTGTAAGGCTACGGGTTAATCTGTGATGGGAAACAGGCACAGGGAGAGGGAAACAGCAAGAGACACCTACATACACCATGTTGCTTCGCAGTTAGATATAACCGAGTACAACTCACAACTTCTTATGAAGTTCCATGCTCTACCCTCAGAAGGCCGTTTGGGGAAAAAAAAAAAAAAATTGAAAAAAAAATAAATTCTGAAAGGAAAGAAACAGCTACAAGAACCTACTGGAGACTGCTAGCATCTTACCGGCCCGGCACAAAAAAAGAAGAGGCTGCTAGAGAAGCAGACGAGAAGCTGACAAGGAAGCAGAAGACCCGGCAGCCCGGTGGAGCACGTCTGCCCAGGGCACGCCGGGCACACCGCCGAGCAGCGCGGCGGAGGGACGCGGCAGAGCAGCAGCCCCAGCGGGGCCTCCAGCCCACCGGCGGCCTAGGGAGCTGCACAGCGGCTCCCGCAGCTACCGACAGCGAACCACAGCGAACCGACCCTCCTCCTCCGCCCGCACCCACCTGGAACTCCAGCCCGTAGATCACCGGCGCGTCGTCCTCCATGTCGGCACGCAACGCCCGCCTCTCCCCGCCGCTCCTTTCTGGCCCTCGGCGCTGCCCGTCCGCCGCTTCCCGGAGCGGACCCGGCGCAGCCGCACTGCCGCCCGGCGCAGGCGCAGTGGGGAAAGGCAGCGGGGGCGGCGGGCGGGCTTAGGGGAGCCGGGCTGGACGGTGGGACGGCAGTGGGGCGCGGGCCTGCAGGAGGGCGCAGACGCCGAGGAGGAGGGTACGTGCCGCTGTGTGGGGTATGTATGTGCCCGCGGCGCTGCGCCGATAGAGGCAGCGGGCTGGCCGCGCCCACCTCGCAGCGCCGGGGGGGCCCCGCGGAGGCCCCGAACCGGGAGGGGCGGAAGCAGCGCTCCGCGGTGACGGCCGGGCTGAGCCGCTCGCTGCCTCCCTGCCTGCCTGCCTGCGCCGGTTTAGTCCTTGCGGCTGTCCTGCTGCGTGTGCTTAGGTGGAGGCATCTGCCAGCGAATCCCAGCGGTTGGGGCTTGCTCAGAACGCCGCGGGCTGAAGAGAGCCTTTTTGTGATTTTATTCCGTGGGCAGGTCTTGAAGGAAGAATGTCAAATGGTGAAATGACTGTGCTTTTAAAGCAAGAATTACAGTGTTTGTTTGATATGTAGTTATTTGGAGTGACCAAACTAATTCTTGCATGTGGTTTCTCCCTTCAGCTGCTATGGAGAATAGTGCAAGCGATGCTAAGGATGCTCGGAGCACCTTGGATGAAGAGGACAGAGGAAATACAACTCAGCAGAAAACTCAGGAAGAAATCCTCTTTCACGAGGAAACCATTGATCTTGGTGGTGATGAGTCTGAAGGGAATGAAACGGTATCAGAAGATTCAAATAACTTTATAGATAAGCTTAACGAACAAATGATGGAGAGTGTCATTATTTCAGACTCTCCAAACAACAGTGAAGATGACACCGGTGAACTTGGTTGTCTGCAGGAGATTGTAGAGCAAATGGAAGCTAAGGATAATGAAAATACTCAAGCGGAAGTGGGTAAAGAAGAGCTTTTAAGTAATGAGAGTGAAACTGAGCATGAAGAGACGCCCAGAGACATCTCTGAGATTGGAACTGATGATCAGTCATCTTTAAAGGAAGAGTCAATTCAGGAAACAGAGAAAGATGAACCAAAGTTGGGAAACAACATTCCCGTTGAAACAAAGCCAAATGGTATTGATGAAAGCAAACCAGATGACCAGATATCATCACCCAGTACTAGCAGACCATCTGCTGAGGCTGAGCCTATCCCTGTGTGTACTATTTTCAGCCAAGCAAACAATGCTAATGCTCAGCCACAGTTGTTCCTGCCTGATGGCTTCGAACCTCAGATGGTGAAATCTCCCAGTTTCAGTAGTGTCATTGAGACTCCAGTGAAGTCTAATCCACAGGTGGTTCAGCCCAGTCCTAGTCTAAGCAAGTTCTTTGGTGATACTGTTAACACTAATACTTTAGCTTCAGATTTTTTTGACTCGTTTACTACATCCAATTTTATTTCTGTCAGTAATCCCAATGCGAGCTCTTCAGTTTCAGAACAGATGTCCTCTCTGTCAAATGGTGGAGAAAGTTCCTGTGCTCAGTCCAACCCTACTTTCTCTGTGGGGAATGGGAGGCCTGAAGGAAATGGTCCTCAAGCATCCCTAGAAACAGCGCAGTCACCCAAACCGTTCTCACAAATCCAGGCTGTATTTGCTGGGAGTGATGACCCATTTGCCACAGCCTTGAATATGAGTGAACTGGACAGAAGAAATGATGCATGGCTTCCCAGTGAGGAAACCAGAAATGTTCTCATCTCAGTTGCCACACAACAATACAGCACTGTATTCATAGACAAAGAGAATCTCACCATGCCTGGATTAAAATTTGATAATATCCAGGTAAGAGTCTGTGGTTGTACTTTGGTTGTTCATTGTATTTTAGAAATACTGAATAAGAGCTCTCCAAGAACGTGTTTAGTGTAGTGCTTTGTTGCCAACTGCTCTCTTGTACTACTCTCATCCTTACCAGAAAATTTAATGTCACTGCCTACTGGTACCTGTAAGGGCTAAAATGTAAGCTGAGTTAAATTTATTCAGTATATTGGAAAACAGTATGTATGTATTAACATTATGTATGTATTAACAGCATACATAAAATCCAAAGCTGGATCCAAGTATAAATCCACGTGTACAAAAGCACGTAAGTGGAAAGAAGACATTGCAGTATGTCAGTGTAACGCATTTCTATGGTAAGACCTGATGCAAAATCAGCAAGGTGATCAAAGGGGCTCCCTCCTGCTTTCTTTGTTATTATTTATAAGCAAACATGTCAGCATAGTCCAGTTTTGAGGTTTTCTATGACTACATGAATTGCATCACATCCAGTTATTGGTTTTCAGTGGCCTAATTGTTCTCTTCCATTGGCCAGACATCCCTTGGTTTGCTGTCATTGTTCTGTATGATTGTAGCACTTTGAATTGCATATTTAACTGAAACTATAATTACAAAGTACTCAAAATGCCAGCTAAAGCATTTTGGGAGACATGTTTTTAATGTTAAATCAGTTTCCAATAACAGGCATTAAAGTTTTGGTATGAATATGCATTTGTAAACAGGAGGGACTCCAAATTTTAAAAGGAGCAGAAAGGGATAGGACAAAGGGGAATGGTTTTAAACTAACAGAGAGGCGATTTAAATTAGAAGTTAGGAGGAAATGTTTCATTCCATGGGTGGTCAGGCACTGGTACAGCTGCCCAGAGAAGCTGTGGATGCCCCATCCCTGAAGGCCCTCAAGGCCAGGTTGGATGGGGCCCTGGGCATCCTGAGCTGGTGGGTGGCAACCCTGCCCATGGCAGGGCGTTTTCAACTGGGTGGTCTTTAAGTTCCCTTCTAACCCAAGCCATTCTATGAATTAAGCGTATTTGAGTTTCTTGATTAGCTTCTGAAATCTCCAAAAGTAGTACACAGAACTGCAATGGTCTTGGGCTGCAGTTAGGAAGATGTTGAGAAATAGATAGCTGAGCAGAAATAGAATGTGAAATTGAGGCACAGGAGTACCATGTACAGAATTACTCAGTTTATTGCTAGCAAAGCTGGAAGTAGAACATATATTTGGACAGTCTTCCTCCTAGCTGCTCCATTGTGCAAAATATAGAATTAATCTTTTTGACTTCAGAAATCTGTATGTTAAATGTCTGTCTCAGCTAGTCTCATTTCTTCAAATTACTGAGCTGCTTCAACAGCCCGATTTCTCTAATTCCAATAGTTATATATTGTTATTGTCTAGTTCTTATGGAATTAAAAATGCTTGTTTAATTGGTTCTGTGATTATTATTTTTTTTTTTCCTGTGGATATTTAAAGTCAATTGATCGTGTGTCACTTTATCTATTAAATATCAGGTAAAACTTTGATTTGTAATATTTCTGAAAGGCATTTTGTAAGTTATGTGAAAGGTGTACCATGCATGTTATGTATATAGAATTATGTACCAGCCCTTCGTTGCTGGCACCGGAGGGCATGTATATATGTATAGTTAATATAGTGATTTGAAGGTTAATAATCTGAAGGAAACAAATAAGCGTGGGTATTTTCATGCTAATTGGAACCTAAATGTTAGAAAAAAAGAATCTAATCAAGAACGCATAGTAAACTGAGAATTTTTAATTAAATTACTGCAAATAGGTACTATACATTTATGTTCATTTCATACAGAAAGTACTGGAAGATTGCTATTTCTCAAGTGAGAAAGATATGTTGCTGGCCTTCATTTCGATATTTTGTTTTACCAAAATAATGTTTGAAAGCATCTCATTGTGTTTTTTCTTTTTTTCTGCCATGAACACAAAGGGAGATGCAGTAAAAGACTTAATGGTCCGCTTTCTGGGGGAGCAAGCTGCAGTGAAGAGACAAGTTCTAAATGCCAACTCTGTAGAACAGTCATTTGTAGGCTTGAAACAGCTAATTGTAAGTACAAATGTTCATAATTTAATATATATTGAATGTCATGCTTCCCTCAACATTACTGATAGCTAATGACTGTGAGAAGGAAATTAAAAAGTGTATATTAATCTCTTTGTGGTCCTGCAGAAGTACTAGCCAAAGTACAGTAATTTTTTTAATGGGAATGAAACTGGTATTTAAATACTGGTATTAATGGATGTAGTAATTTTTTCTTTGTATGCAAAAGTTAGAAACAAGGCAGTTTTAAGATACTGTGAGTTTTATCAGCTGTTAATATTTACATGGTGTAAATGATTTCAAAATAGATTTTAATAGCTTTTTTTGTTCATTTCCATATGCATTCTTGATGTTTTCACAGCACTGTTTTGCAGAAGGTTAAGATGTACCATTAAAGTGGTAAGCAAAGCTGAAGTGGTAGTTTCAGCTGCTTTTATTTTTTATTTCATAGCAGGAAAACTACACTAAAATGCTTCCAAATGAAGGTTTATTTTTCTGTAATGAAAGGTTCTTTCAGACCTTTAAATAGCTGCGTCCAGCAGCCTTGTGAGCTTTGCCTTGTTCTTTCAACCACTATGTTCCATGTGAAACTCATCACTATTAAATGGCTGAGCTGAACTTAATCTCTTGAGATGTCAAAACGTTTCAGGCTTATTTTATTTCTGAAAAAAATGAATGAAAAATTACTGAGGAAAAGCACTTAAGAATCGTGTTATAACAATTTGTATTTAGCATTTAACATTTCATAGTTTAGTTGCGCTATATTACATGTAAAAGCTCCAAAGGAGACTTTTTGTCATGTTTAGAAGATTCTAGATAGTCTCTTCAAATGAATTCAGAGTTAATTTTTGAAACTAAACCTGGAAAAACATACTGTGGTCTCCATCATAGAGATGATTTTTCTGTCTCTCTCCATCTTCTGCTTAACTGGAGAGTTCAGAGAAAAAAAAAAAAAATGTCATTAAGAAATCTTGTCTCCATCTGTGCCAGAGAAGGAAAGGGCTTTTTTCCCCACATTTGCTCTTTCGTAAGAGTCAGTTTGATATACAGGGAGAAACAAATCTTTCTCTATTTGGCCCAGTAGCTTTGTCCATGCAAATTGTTTTGTGCTGCAAACTATCTTATACCTTAAGTACAGTGCTGCCATGGGTATCATTTTAGCTTTGAGTTGCACTTAAGCTTCATAAGAGCATTATTATGACTTTGGAATTAAAGCAGAGAGTACAGGAAGTGTTGTGTTGCTGTCACATCTTTTGCTACCTGCAGCAGATTTCTTTTAAAACTTATCTCATTTGATGGTGTTTTGGTTTTTGTTTTGTAAAATTGAAACCAGCCATTCAACCAGAAGTCAGTGTTCTTCAATTTTCTGGGCTCCCAACTGTTAGCTGATGGCTGGAGTATGGAATATAATGAGTTCTCAGTTTTGTTTGTAGAACTTTGGTTTTTATTATAAGAATTAATTTAGTTTATTTGTTCCTTGCCAATATGACTGTGTTATTTTTTCTCTTTTTGTTTTCTGAAATTCTTAATGTAGAAAACTTATTTTTGTCTGGCAGCAGTCTTAAAGATAATAGGTATTTTGAACTTTCTTAGAACCATTAAAATAGATTATATTACCTAGAAAGCTGAATGCCAGGCCAGAATAAGTATAAGAAGTGCTCCTTTAGCAACCCCCAATTTTACTGTCTTTGAGTGAATTCCTGACAAAATATATTCAGGGAATGTTATGTTTTCGTATGAAGGGCCGCTTACAGGGAATATTCTAATTAACATCTGGATAAAATCTGGAGCCTGAATTCAGGCTGTTGCAATTTGGAATACTGCTATGCAGTTCTCACAAAAACAGGATTTTTCCTTACCTGTTTAGTATCCATATGAATTACACATCAACATACAAATTAGTGAGATCACTTCTGTCATATCATTCAATTCCTTTCTACAATGGACAACCATATAGTAGGGTCTGTTTCAAAGCGGTCCACAGCACAGGAAGGAGAAACATAGACTTATGTGTGAGTATGGAGCTAAATTCTATCCTATTATTTAAATGTGTACATGTGAGCTATTGTCTGAACTCTGAAGTCAAAAGAGATCTAATTAATACAGGTACTGGAAACATCTAAACTTAGATATGTAAGTGTGAAGTCCCATCTAGCACGCCCAAGAACTGTAGGAAGATGCTGTAAAAAGGCACCAGTAGCCATTGGAACTAAAAGTAAATGCTGTATCCTGTTAGGTTTGCTAGGTAAAATGCCCCAGTGATGGCATTCACTCAGTGTTGTGACGATTGTGACTTCTGTTTCGTGTTGCTTTTTAAATTATTTTTTTGATGTTTCCTGAGACAGCAGTGACATTTCTATTTCTCATTTTTTTTATATATCTTATTTTTAAAGGCAAAATTTCCTGATTTCTTCCAGTTATCCCATAATAGGTACACTGGCTTAACTATCCTACAGCTCTTCTTGGTATCTCTTCCTATTGAAACTAGCATTGTCTCACTGTGACTGTCTGGAACTCAGAGCAGTATACTGTACATGTTCACGTACATGTTTTTTACATGTTAATAAGTATTCTGATACTATAAACTTTGTGATCCATGAGTAGTGATATCCTTCTTTATATTGACAATACTTTCTGTATTACATCTGCAAATAGAGATACCTGCTCCATTCACCAGGATCACAGGAGAATTCCTTAGATTGGTTCCAGTATACATCATGTAATGTATACATAATTTCTTAACCTTCCATATAAAAGATCTAATGAAAAACTTCTACAAGTTAAAAGATAAATTTGTGGATGCAGTGAAATTAGTGTTTGCAGCAAAGAATATTGATTGAGGTTGTTTTGGGTGGGTCATAATATAAACTGCAAAAGTTGCTTTAAGGACAGCTAGTTGTCAGATGATTAATACAATCTAGAAGATAGTTGGCTGAATTTCCAAAGGTGCACCAACAACAGCAGTGTTGTTTCTGAGGCAAATAGCTGTTCACCACCAGCTGAGCTCCACTTGTAAAATCAGGCTAGCAAAAGTGTTTGTTTGGTATGAATTTGGTTTCTGGTTGTTTGCTGTATAGCTGCTTTGTTGAACAGTTGCACTTTGACAATTTAACAAATAACTGAAAACGTGCTCCTAGTAGAGTTATGGTAGAGATGATCTGCACTTGAAGCAGTTTTGCAACTCTGAGGCTTTAAAGGCTGCAGATGAAAAACAAAAATGTGAGTTTTTAATTCCTGAAATGGTTATTAATTTGGTATAGGAAAAGGCATTTACCTCTGTCAGAAGTACATGTAGTAGCCTGTCTTCACAGCCTTGCTTTGTTTTGCACCAGCAAATAAAAATTGTGCATACGGAAGCAAGTTGTGATTATGTCAGTTCTTATTCCATATTTTAGAGTAAGTTTTTTACCCTTGTTTGAACAAATAGCATGGTGTTTCTTACTAGAGACCTCTCTGATATTTTGAGCTGTAAGGTGTTTGCACTAAACAAACTTAAAATAAAACTTGTGCATTTTGCTGCAATAAATATGCAATGATTGCTGTAAGTATGCAGTAATTTCTTCAAGATGCTAGACCAGGAAAGGGTTACTAACTACATTTTCTTAACTGATGTGAAAGTGTTCTACCAATGTAATTTACAGGGGAGAAGAATGTCATAGCTAGTGGAGGAGGACATTTTAATCACTTTAATGGTGTTACATGTAGAGTTAATGACTCCCTTTGAGTCTATTTTCAAAAGAAAAAAAACATATAGAGTTACTTTTGCATGTGATTTATGTTGTGTTCTTGCATATATTTTCAATTATAACAAACTTGGATGCAGTAGTATGGCATACATATTTAATAAGTTAGAAACTCTCCTTAAAAATAAAGGGGTTTTGTACTCCTCTATTTCTAAATCAGTCAGTAATTTACAACATTTTTGTAGCTGATTGAAGAAAAGATCAGAGTCTCCACAAACAGTGCAAACACTAGCTGGGGGCTTGAGAGGATTAAGGAGGGAAGTTGGATTTCTACCACTAAAAAATATCTATTTGTTGGATAAAATTTCAGTGGCTTACCTCTGACTCACAGTTGTTTTCCTTATAGCCTGCATAATGTTATAAATTCTCTTTCTCTGTCAGGTGAGTTTACTTGTCATTGAACACATATTCTGCAAATAACCGGTTTATATCTTCTTTCATAGTTTTACCATTTGTTCTCTCTCTTTTACATGACTTTCTTTGCTTGACAGTAGAATTCCACGTGGGTATTAGTCTTTGTTGTTGCATCACCTCAGCTTCACTGCTTTCATTCAGGAAAACAATGTAGTGTTGTATACAAAGAATAAATTAGAGTACTTCTGCAGTCATATGCTCTCTTTGTTCAACTGGAGTTCAAAACATCAAGCAAAATTGGCCTAGAGGAGAAATCTTCTAGGGAGCAGTTACCTGTGAGAGGATGGTAGCTATTTGGCAGGTTTGGGTGGGTTTTTTTTCAGTTTTTTTAATGTGAATATATGAATATGTTCACAACAGAATGAAAACACGGTCTTTCACACACCATGAAAATTCTGGTAATTAAAGTTCTTTGGACACTTAACTGAAGAGAAAAATGATAAAAATATTTTCCTTTTTGGCTTGGATTGGGTCATTTTACTCAATTGGAAGGTGGTTTTTTTTTCCGTTTCTCATTCTAAAAAATATAATGCCTAAGTATTACTCTCGTACTTGAACTATTGTAGCATTCTAGTTAAGCTTCCACAGGGGAGCTACAATCCGTGACCAGCAGACAACTCTTCTTTTGGAATCATAAGGAATGCTATGTTTCATTTTCTAGCAAAGACTTCTTTTACAGTGGTCATCTGACTTTTTCTGGCTGTCTCCTACTGTACAAAAAAACTGGTTTTTGTTTGTGTCCAGAATAGGATTTTTAAAATTGTAGCGTCTTAATTTCTCAGCAGTGTTCCACTATTACTTCTAGATATTAACTCTCATTTGGGAAGAAAAGCTAAGCAGTTTGAGAGTCTGAGTCTGCTTCTGCTCTGAGGACAATAAGAAAATAATTTGTCTCTGCAGAAGAGGAGTAGATGATGAACATTTCTGTTTAAGACTGTTAGAAATGTGGATTGATTCATGCTTTTGTGTAGACATCTCAGAAGCTTCTGTGCTGCTTCATGATCATGTTGTCAACCAAATTCTACATTTCCAGTGGAACTCCATTTTTTGTCTAGGTTATGGCAGTGCAGAGAAAAGATGGTATTCAGTGCACTGTGATAGCTCAGCTGCTCTTTGAATGAATGTGGCTGTAAAACAGGTCAGAGTATGGAACCTCATCATACGTTTTACTAGGTGTTTTTCCATCCAACTGGTTGCTCTGTTGGCACATTCTCCAAACTCATGAAGCCTTAGTCTTTTTTAATCATTTTTTCATTGTATTAGATATTTACACAGCTGCATTTGCATACACTAGCAGAAGCCGTAGTAGGATGACAGTGTGACAGTGCAGTGAGACTTGTATAGCTGGGCAGGATTTTGTTTAATGAAAGAAAAAATATGCTTAAGAATGTATTCTTCTGGTTTAGTGATCTGATAATACTGCTTTCTCTCATGCTTTGCTTCACTTTTTCCCTAATTACACCTGGAGCTTTGACAAATGACATTGTGCTTCTTAACACCTGACGTATTTTTTTCCTGATGAGTAAATGTAGTTCCTTCAGATAAAATAAGCAATAGTGCATTTTAGGGGCTTTTGCTTATGCATTCTTGCTATTTACTCTTTTCTTCTTCCCAGAGCAGTAAAAATTGGAGGGCAGCAGTTGATTTGTGTGGGCGTCTCTTAACTGCTCATGGTCAAGGCTATAAAAAAAGTGGACTACCTACAAACCATACAACAGATTCTTTGCAGGTAAGCTGAAAGATACTCAGCATAAGGCAAAACATACTCAGCATAAGGAGATTAATGTAATTTATTGTCTGTTGATAACAGACGAGCAGTGAGTACTAAAAGCAAACTAAAAACACTTCCTTCCATCCACCTTCTTCTACTTCCCTGTGTAGCACAGGGGAATGAGAAATCAGGGCTGCAGTCAGTCCATAATGTTTTATCTCTGCCTCTCCTCTGTGCTCACTCTCTGCCCCAGCTCCACGTGAAGTCCATCCTATAGAATGCTGTCCTTCCCCAGCTGATCACATATGGGTTTCTCACAGGCTGCATGTCTCCCAGCACTGCCATAGTGCAGCTCTGTATCATAGCGCCCATCCTACAGGAACAATTCCAGCACTGTCCCAACAGGATGTCCTTTCAGCCCTCCTGCCCCACCATGGGCCACTCTCCTCGGGCTGCAGCTCTACCCATGCTGCTCCTGCAGGAATATCCTTCAGGCCACTTCCACTACTGCACTGTGGGCACTTCAATGGCTGCACATGAAGATCTGCTCCACATAGTGCCCAAGGGCTGTAGGAGGACAGCCTGCTCCTCTGTAGGCCTCTCCTGGGCCACAGGAAACTTTTGCTTCATGCCTGGAGCATCTACAGATGTGACCAGTTGACAGGTCAGAGCCTGACCCTAGGAACTATCAAATTAATGGAGTTTTACCAAAATCATTTTAGATCTTAAAACTTACACAAATTTGGAAAAATAGAAGTTGGAATGATGTATCTTATATGCTAAATCAGTTAAAGGGAGATGTTTTAATTTTGAAACAGCCTATTTATTACAATCACCTTCAATATTTCAGTACCTTTATAAGTAAATAAAGCATCAGTCTCTAAGTTTTGTTTTAATGTTCTGAGGAAACTATTCTATGAAAAATCATGTAAATCCCAATTCTTATCTGCAAGTAACACAGAAACTCTTAACTTTATCAGAAAAACTTAGAAAGTTGAAATTTTATTTGGATGTGGCTTGTGATTGAAGCTAATAACAAACTTTATCTTTTACTTTTTATGTGTATTCATTTGTAGCTGTGGTTTGTGAGACTAGCACTGCTCGTAAAACTGAATCTCTTCCAAAATGCAGAAATGGAATTTGAACCATTTGGAAATTTAGACCAGCCTGATCTTTATTATGAATATTACCCTCATGTATACCCTGGACGAAAAGGTAAGATACTCAATTTATGAAATATCTGTTTTAACCATGAGTTCTTGCCCTGTTTTTATTATTATCATGGTGATTCTGGGTTTTTTTTGCTTTCAAAATCTCCCCAAGGAGAGTGTGATTAACTATGAAGTTAAATGATAATTTGTGTTACAGAGTTCCTAGTAAGAAGTAAAAAGAAGTACAAAGAAGTAAAGTTACTCCATCACAGGATGGGTGGTCAGTGTGTTTTGTGCTGGTGTTACAACACTGATTTGAGAGAGGAATTTTTTTAACAAGTAAATGTAGAAGTGTTGTAGTTCAAACTTATTAATCTTTTTGAATTTTAATAGTTAATTCTAGCCAGAACCAGCTGTTAAAGATGAAAGTTTATACATGTAGAATCTATAGGCTTTCCTCCTCTTTCCATTTTCTGTATGATATTTCATAAAGATTTGAACTGTTTATATCTTTCCAGATAGTGAAAAAGGGAAAGAAAGCAGAATCTTTCTCTTCCATCCAGCAGCTGTTTGATGTTGTTTTTTTTTTGGTTTTTTTGTTTTTTTTGTTTTTTACCAGCCACAAAACTGTAGATTACTAGTATTATTTCTTGAGCCTTAGGTATCATTGTCCCATAGATTCCAAAGTTACAAATAGACAATGGACACTCACATGGCGGTGTACATTGATAATCCAGGTAATTTTCTTAGGTTCCTGATTTCAAGGCTAAAAAGAACTTGGAGAATTTGACTATGATAATTTTTTTGGATAAAATTAAAACTTGAATGTAAAAATTGCAAAATAATTTAAACTAAACAGAAGAATAAGAATTTATTATGTAACTTGTTGATGAACAGAAAAAAATGCACCACCAGCCTCAGTAGTTTTTTTTATTTTGAATTAGAAATGACCAAAGAGTCAGCATCTTTTAAGCAATTGCAGGCAAAAATTTCCTGGTTTCCCTGGCTGTTTGAGTAGCAACAGCAGTCTTTGCTTTCTTCCATAAATAGACTGAGGGGCTCCTGGGATCTCTGACACACTGTTCCTTCTATTCCACGTATTGCCTTGGAGTAAATTCTTTATCCTTTCCTCTATACTTCAATTTTCTTCCCAACTATTCAATATTTTCACACTTTAAAAGACTTCTTTCATCCTAAGAAAGAGAAGTGTTTGTATCTTTTTCAGTATTAAAAATAAGAATAAATTAAGATCTATACCTGAGTAAATAAGACACTTAAAATCTCACAGAATCAACTATTTTTGGTATTAATTTCTTCATTTCGTTCCACTGAAACATCAAGCTACAGTGGACCACAGTAAGGTCAGAAAGGTAGTGTAGACTTATAAAATATGTTAAACCAATAGTTGAATGATGTCTAGTCACACTGTATTCCAAGGGAATAAGTAAGTATAAAAATAAATCTTTCTCTATTCTATTTGTCATGGAGTCATAGAATTGTTTGAGTTGGAAGGGACCTTTAAACGTCATCTAGCCCAACTGCCCTGCAGTGAACAGGGACATCTACAGCTAGATTAGGTTGATTAGAGCTCCATCCAGCCTGACCTTGAATGTCATCAGGAATGGGGCTTCCACCACCTCTCTGGGCAACCTGTTTCAGTTTATCATAAAAAAACTTCTTCCTTATGTCCAATCTAAATCTCTCCTCCCTTAGTTTTTAAACATTTCCCCTTGACCTATACAACAGACCCTGCTAAAGCATCTGTCCCCTTCTTCTTTATAGCCTCCCTTTAGATATTGAAAGGCCAATATCAAGTCACCCTGGAGGCTTCTTTACTTCAGGTTGAACAGACCCAGCTCTCAGCCTGTCCCTGTAGGGGAGGTATTCCATCCCTTGGATCATTTTTGTGGCTTTTCTTTGGCCATACTCTAACAGGTCCATGTCTCTCTGGTTCTGAAGACTTCACATCTGGACCCTTAAGGGACACCACTGAGCCATTGATCACTGCTCTCTGTTTCTTGCACCCAGTTTCTCGTCCATCAAGCAATCCACCCATAAAAGCTATATCTTCTGAATTTGGAGAGAAGGATATTAAAGGCCTTACTGAAGTCCAGGTAGATCACAGAATCACAGAATCACAGAATTGCCAGGGTTGGAAGGGACCTCAAGATGACATCAGTGGCTTTTCCCTTGCCCATTGATGCAGTTATGCCATTATAAAAAGTGACACAGTTGGTTAAGCAGAACCTGCCTTTGGTGAAACCACACTTGTTATCCTGTATCACCTCCCTCTCTTTGATGTCCTTGTTGTGGCTTCCAGGAGGATCTGTTCCATGATCTTCTCTGGCACTGAGGTGAGACTAAAAGTTCGGTAGATCATCGGGTCATCCTTTTTACTCTTCTTAAAAATGGATGTGATATTGCCTTCTTTCCAGTCTCTAGGGAATTCACTGGACTGCTATGACTTAAAAGGATCATTGAGAGTGGCTTGGTGACTGTGTCAGTGAATTCCCTCAAGACTCTGGGGTGCATCTCTGGGCTGATAATTCTGGGATGTCAGCCTGTTGCAGCACACACTGGTGTATCCCTATGGTCATGTATTAAAAAAAATTGTACTAGGATCACTAACACAGGAAGATAGAGAGTATGAAGGCAGTTTTTAGAGCCCATACAACTAAATATTGAACAATGCATTAGTAGTTCAGGCATTTTCTACCAGAAGACAAAAGACTGATTGCATGTTAATAGAGTAAATATGATACTGTATCATCACAATCAGAAAGAAAATGGGAAAAGAGGAAAAACTTAAAAAAACAACCAATAAACCTTATACATACGGAGTTCTGGTAAGGGGGATAAAAGCCATGTCTTTACTAGTCCACATTTTTTTTTTTTAGTTCTTAGATTATTCTCAACTATTGTAGTTTTTAGAACACTCATTTTGGTAGCGTTAACTTTTCTGTAACTTACTCGTCTATTAACCAGAAACAAGTCCAAATTATCTCATAAAAAATGAAATGCCATTTTAATGTTTCCTTTTAATCCTTGGCTCTTTCAGAGACACACAGCATTATCAGTGGAATGGGCATGTTAGATTAGCTGGTAGGGCATAAGAGAGAGTTTATAAAGTATCATAAGGAGCGCAGAAGCAAAAGATGAATAAAAAGTCACATTTTAAAAGAAGTGAAATCAGAATTTTTTTTCTTCTCTCTGCAAAAAAAATTCTGGAAATAAGGATGCATGTGCATTACAAACTGAATTTAAGCTTGCTGCACAAAAAACCACTACAACAGTGACCCCTCTCTTGCCCTCCCCAGATGCTTACTGTTGAGAAAATGGCTACTGTGTTGACTCCAGACAGGTATTTTTGATATTTTAATCTGATACAAAATACTATCATCAATAATTCTTGCAGTCAGGCACAGAATTGGGTAATCATATGGGCCAAACCGCAGTGTCCTTTTTTCCTGTTTGGAATTCCTACCTAGAAAAACAAAAATGCAAGACTTGCTAGCAAGAATTCTCCCTGTTAAAATTAGGGCTGATCCTTTTTTACAGATGTTGATGAGTGATGGCTGCCTTTACTATAAAATGTACACTCTCATTCAAGCAGAAAAAGTTAAATATAGGGAACAGAGAAAATGGAATTTGGAAGATTTAAATCCCTAACGAAGCAATTGAAGATTTCAATAGGAAATAAGACTAGTTTAATCTCTGGATCAAGCAGGAAAGATTGAGGAGTGAATTAACTAATTTAGCTGGCTAATCATAGTAGATTCTCCCCCTGCCCTCCCAGAATGTTGTGCACCTACAGGTGACAGAGATGACAAAAGGAAGAGACTGCAGAAATTGGGAAAGGAAGATTTTTTTAAAAAATATTTGATATTAGAATCATGATAAAGAAAACAGTAGTGGAATCTCTGCACGGTATGACTGCAAGTGCCATATAAAATGTCAGGACAATAAGAGGCTGGCAGCATTGCCAAAAGGAAAAGAAAGGAGTCCTGGAAGAGCTTCAGAGAAAAATTAAACCAACCCTGCTCACCATGTTAAGTTGAAATGATATGAGAACATCTTCCACACCTCTTGTTCTTACTTGGAATTTAAATTCTTTGAGGGATGCTCCTCTGTGATGAATGAATAAGGGACTATCTTCACTGCTATAAGAAGCTCTTTTCCTTACTTCACACAGAAAACACGGAAAAAAAAATATGATTTATTACATCCCATATTGTGGATATTTTGAATATAAAGAAATGATGCAAAATAGTATATATATTACAATTAATGTGTACATTGTTTCTATCTATAGTCTCATTTCTCAGATTCTTTCTTAAGTGCTTACTTCATTTATATACCGTGATTCAAAGTTAAAATGCTGAATCTCTTCCTTTTATGCTTGTTACACCACAAAATGATACATGGTCTTACCAAACATCTGTGGATTCTGGATTCATACTAATATATTTCAACCAAAATATATGGATGATTTATGTATATTTTATTATTTTAATTAGCTAGTTAATTTATAGATGCATTTATAGTCATTTCCTTTTTCTGTTTCCAACCTTGGTGATTCTGTGGTCTGTACTGCATAGTTTACTGCTAGCCAGAATACAATTGCTTTCTCTCTCTTACATCCTTGGGAGCAACATCTCCCTCTCCCCCCTCAAGGATGTATGAGGAAGCTGTTCCACATCTTAATGACACTGTATTTATGTAAGATACATGCAACCAGCAGGCTGATTCCAACCAACTTTGACCTTATTTTCCTCACAGGTGATCAGATAATTTTCCAGGTTGGTATGTTCATCTTAAATATGAACTGAGACAGTGGTTGTATTTTTTTCCAGCTTAATGGTTTTAATATTTATGGTATGTAATAATGATGTGGAATAGTTTCCCTGTACATCTCCTAAGTTTCTTTAAAAGCAATCTGTTCTGTTGTTCCAGAGTTACCTTCCAGCTATGAAATCAGCTAATACAGATTAAATAAACACCACTCAAGTGTTGTGGTTCCAGATGGGTATTTAGAGTAGTCAAACTTACAAATGCAATTTTTTT